TTTATAAAAATGTCCGCCAGCGCCCCCTGCCGTCCTCTGAACGCCCCCTCGGGGGCGGTACCGCCCACGTTGAGAACCGCTAGTTTAAAGGTCATATTTCCCATGAAATTAAAAGGAAAAGTAGGAAGCTTGATTATTAAAAGATGAATACTTTTAATAAAATGTTGTATATGACATTTTTGTGGTAAGATTTTAATTAGTGGGTCATAGTTTTATCCTAATTTTAAAAAAAAAAAACCTCTTCATCTGCATTGACCCTGTTTGGACACCTTTGTTCTACAAAGGCTCATTAATTCATCTTCATATTTTAGTTTTTCTTCTTCTTCTGTCAGTAACTTAAAATATTGACATATCTTTGAATCACTTTCCTATCAAATCCGTCAAAACCCTAAAGATGCAGCAGCTCGGTGTAAATCAGTGGTCCCCAAAGTAGGTCCTCGAGGGCCGGCATCCTGCATGTTTTATTCTCTCCCTGGTGGTAGTAACAACCTTTTCAGCAAGTCAATGTTCTTCTTTGGCCATCCAATGAGCCATCATTTGATCCAAGTGCGCTAAACCAGGGAGAGAACTAAAACATGCAGGATGCCAGCCCTCGAGTACTGACTTTGGGGACCAAGATTACTACAGATTTGTGTAAATCATTGGGGATGTTTGATTTTTTTTTAATGAATTTTTGCTAACCTCATGCAGAGGCCCGCCTGCAGAGGGCAGCAGTCCATTCTCGTTGGGCAGACTGTCATTAGGAGAACTACAGCCAGAGACCGGAGTGCTGCTGCTGCTGGGGGAAGAGTCTGGTGAAACACACACACACACACACACTGAATTGGAGATCTGAATATCAGTTATTAGATAAACAAATCCTCATCGAACTAGCAGATTAGAGCAGCAATGTGGCATGAAGCGCTCCCTCTGCTGCATTTGCCTGTGTGGGGTTTACCCAGTGTGTCCGATGCTCGGTGCTTGATGGTGGGCGGGGCGCTTTCCTTGCGGGTGAGCGGACTCTTTCGTGTTTTTAGGTGGTTCTTCAACTTGTGCTTCACCTTCAGATTGGGCTCTGATGCTGACAAATTAAAACATGTGCAAGTCATTAAAACTGTGTGTATTATGTAACTTTTACAAAAATATGCTTTTTCCATATTTCTTAAAACTGTCCATGTCTTGACAGCATGGCATCATACAGATAATCTGCCAAAAATATCAAGCTTCTCCACCTCCCTGTGCCACTGTTGCTATCTGGAGAAATGCTGGTCAAAAGCCACGAGAGTCAGGACGAGGATCTTAGCTGCTGTCAATCAATCACATGAACACACTGCTAAATGTGCTAAAGGCGGGTAAATGACTTACTGTTACAGGAAAACCGTTTATCCACTGACATCTGTACCTATGGTCTATTTTTTTCAGTGAGAATTTTAATCTGCTCTGAAATAGCAAAGAAGGTTGTACTCTCAAATCTATGTTGTTAAAATCTCACCACTTTCTCTAGGGGTTAGAAATGTAACCCCTAGAGAAAGTGGGGTTACTTTCTCTAGGTGGTAACCCCACTTTCTCTAGTGGAGTTACCACTAGAGAAAGTGGGGTAATCTGCCTGCAGTTTAATCAACTGCAGATTAATCAGTTGATTAATCTGACTTTATTGTGTAGAGTGAAATTGCTGCTGAACTCTTTATCTCTGTATTTTTTATTTTTTATTTGAGGAAATAATTTTAACTATTTCACTTCGTAATCTCATACATCCTCTGCAGAAAGGTTTAATTGGTTATTTAGGACGTTGGACATGTAGCTGGTGTGTTACCTGCTCTGCGCAGCGGCGTCCCCTCCAGGCCGTCAGATGGAGGCTGTGGTGGAGATGAGACCAGAGGCTGGGCGGGGACGTTGGGGTCTGGGCCAAGCTTTCTGAAAGAACACAGCACCGAAAAGTCCACACAATTACTACAGCAATTTATAACATCACATTCAATTAATTAATATTTAACAGAAGATACATTTTGAAAAAATACATTATGTATTTATTATGCATAATACATAAACATCATATATGTATATAGTTGACAGTGACGTGCGCTGAGGTTCATTGCTGGTGAGGCACTGACTTACGACTATATAGACACCATTATTGGACGTACGGAAATTTCGCGCAGGCATACAACGCTGGGGGGCAAAAAGACTAATCTTTTACATGTCAGCCATAGCCACGTTAACTCGGTGAAACTTAGAATGTAGGTATTAATTTTGTGTTATGATCCACAGCAAAGGGAAAGAGGTATTCGCCACGCTACACGCAGATTCGTTGCCATAGCAACTGACAACATGGTTTAGGGTTTAACACCAAAAAACTAGATTAGCTACCGCTTCTACTTTACTTAATTACTTAGACATACAAACTATAGCCCACAAAACGCACATTTCATTAAAAAAC